TTCAACTTATCGTTGAAATAAATACACGCGGTTGTATTGAAAAAATTATAATGAATTGAAATGATGTTTTAATTCTTTTTTAATTCTTTTAAGTCCATCTCATAACAAATTCAATTAAGAAATAGGTACTTTTAAAACACTTACTAAGTTTTCAATTAAAAATTAATTCAAGTAATTTACTATATATTCAGTATGCAATACTTAAAAATGGCGAGTACAAGAGTACCTACCTAACCTGTATTGTGTTTCAACTTTCAGTACCTACATATTTTAATTAATTTTATACCTACATTAAATATCACATTTCTACTTTAATTATTTTAGTTACCTACCAAAGATATAGTAAGTGCATTGTATGTATGAAGGTATATTACTAAATAATAAAATAGAATGTAATGCATATTTTTGTTTGGTATAATTTAATGCGTTGTGGTTTCTATATTTTTCTTTCAAATATATTTTAACGCGGAGGTTATAGAGGTTATTTTCACGGTTTTATTGAACTTTAAGCCTTAGAATTAATGACAATCGATTACTTGCCTGCAAACATGTGTCAAAGCCACTAAAGAGTCAATGGGACAAAAATGCCAAAGCTTACTTCCTCTCCCTATGAAATCTCTAAACTTTGTAACAATATATACATTGGTAGAGTATGACAATAGGTATTTTCACTCTTGTAGGATTTGTTGATGGTGTATTGTAGAGAATGAAAAAAATGTTTTACGTAAAATACCACTACCTATGTATAATATATATTTATATGTACAGCACGATATCGATCGTTTGCGTAATCTACAGCGAGCTTACTTTGTACAATAAACAAACGTGGTCACTTAATGAGGACGGAAAAGGCGTTTTCGTGATGCATTTTTATCGCATGGAAATTTATTCAAACAAGCCAGCAGGAACATACAATTTGGAAACGAGCAAAAGAGAAGTTCGATAAATGTATAATGCAGTAGTAATGAGTACGTATAAAATAACTGAGATTCCTTTGCACTATATGGGTACGTTGAAGCGCTCAAACGCGTAATATATTTTATACCCACGTACCTATATATAACAACACATATTTGTATAAGATAAAAGTAATTTACAATCAGAGCGGGTATTAATTGCAGTTAAATATAGGTATTTGAATTTCGTTACAATGTCCACAATGGCTCAAGTATTTATTTTACAAAGCACATATTGTTATAATAATTTCCAAACACGTAGGTATTAACCTTTGTGTGATTTAGATCTACCTACACAAATAGGTTTAGATAATTGTAATCAAAAATTATTTATGCAATAAAAAAAAAATTAAACATAACAATTAGAGGCATATACAACATACTGCGAGTTCTACTTATTTGTCTTTTATATGCGTTATGACTTATGACATATTATTATATTATGAGATTTGGGAAAAAAGTTTTAAATCTATAAATCAATGTATGTATATTGTATATTGTACACATTATTTTATTTTCGCTAAGCTTCATCCGTCATAATTTATTGTTTTTACACGTTTTACGAAGTACCACTAAATATATTTTTAATATTATTCATATATTTTTATGACATTATTTTGATAGTAATTTTTTTGTACACTTCGTGAGAAGTATAATTAAATTATTTAAATTGATCGGTTTCAATAAATTGCTGTCAAATACAAAAAAAAACTAATGCCGAACATTTTTCAGAAAACTCTCCTTAAACGTTTTATATGTAGGTATTGTTTACATTTTTTGTGATATAATTATATTTTAATAAAATCACAACTCAAAACAATCTCTCTTTAAATATGTTTTTGTAACTGTAAACAAGTTTTTATAATACTTAACCAAGTATAAACCTTAACTATATAGTCAAACTATAAATATAAAATATTGAAAAATGTTTCCCAAAAGAAAAAAAACATCATTATAAAACCAATACATTTTAAGAATATAAAATCATATGAAAATAAATTAAATTTATAATTAAATACAAATTAAACAGTTTAAGCACAGTAAGTGGTTACATAAAAAAAAAATTAGGTACATTACATTTTACCAACTCAAATTTAAGGAAGATAAAAATAAAGTAATTTGTTAAGATGTTTTTTTTCAATGTTCTTATTTATATTAACAGCCACAGGTCACATGCAAATTAAATGTCCTTTAGGTACTGAGTAGTGAATTATATATAAGACGTAGTCTCTACTTTGAAGTTTGGACACAATTTATACGATTTATGTTCAACAAACTGAAGTACTTATGATTGCAAGTTGCGACAATAACTGAAATGGACATTTTTATTCCCTACATAATATCATTAAATATTAACTATTAATAGTACACATTATATAGGTACCTAATTTATAGTTTGAATAAGTTTCTCCTAAGCCTAGGCCTATTAAGATACTTTTAACGAATTCAAATAAAGTTTAAAAATTTTAGTGTGTTCCCAAGGGCCACGATGCCGAGGGTATTTTTAATAATAATAAAAAGATTTTTGTTGTTTTTATACATATTTCTGCATTATGTAAACGAGTGAAACGAATTAGAGAATAAATTTGTCTTGAGTAATAGATATGTTTACTAAAATCTCCAATGTACACAATATATTTTCAAAACATATAACAAGAAATATATTTATGTTTTTTTTTACGGTTTTAGTTTAAAAAGCAATTTCTGAACTTTCGGTAATCGAATTTTGTTAAAAAGTTCGTCAACATAATTTATATCTATTACCTACGATATTATTTTAAAATTACACAGCCAACTTTGCCTTTTATCACATTTCCAAAAAACACTAGGTACAAACACCTTTTTGCAAGATTACTTGAATTTCATTTGAAAGAATCCAATTAAAATGTTCTTGAATATACACTGTGTTTAATCTTTATTTATTATTATTTATTATTTAAAAATACGCCTCAACGACCAGGGTTATTGGCGTTTCTGAAGTGTTTAATCTTTTAATACTTGATGATTTTTACCTTTAAATATTTATTTATATTTATAAGTTTATTATTATAAGATATCTTATATTTATAGATATATCTACAAAATATTCGGAGTTATATTACAATGAGAGAAAAAAAATATTTCTTAAAATAAATGTATGTAAGTAGAATGAAATTACTCAGTTTTAAAATTAAATATGTCATACACAGTTTTGTTAAATATAAAGCCTTCATTGCGTGACATAACACAACATTATTGAATTATTCAAAGTTAAAAATGTAATAATTCTCTTGTAAATGAATAACACGTCTATTTGTGTAACGATACATTTTTTAATATAGTCTGCTTGATGCTTGAATAATATTCGTATATTGTTTATATTTAAATATAAATATTTATTATACATACATCTGTGATGACTAAGTAATATTTTATTGTATCATTAGTTAAAACTAATAATAGTTATATTTATAAGCAAACATACCAAAAACTATTACTACCTAATAATATAAGTTTTAAAGTTAAGGTAAATACTAGTTATGCAGTCCACGTATATTTTTTTTTAGTTCACACTGCTGTAATAATAAACAATTTGAATAAAGAAAACGATTATTTTGACTCATTAAAAATGTAGAATATTATAAAAATGAAATAAGTTATTTTTTTTTTAAGGTTTTTATACTAAAAAATGTACAATTTTGATGTCACAGACTTATTGGGTTTAATATATCACAAGAAAAACGGTTTAAAGTGAATGTATGTAAATTATAAACAGTTAATCTTAAGTCCACTAAAACGATGTACGTTTTTGTTGTACCATGTGATTCGTATATAGAAAGTACCAACATGACAATAATGATATATATTTTATGATAAATGAAGATGGTTCAAATTTGAGTTGGAAAAAACATAATACAGTTATATAGTTCACCATCAAATTTGCACATTAAATTTATTGTAAAAATAAAATTCAAACTTTTCAAAATAATTAATGGTCGAATTGTGGTCCGCTCCCTTATTCAATGGATGAATGACATCTCTTCATTCGCATATTTCATCTCTCTGCTTAATTTTCCTTAAGAATTCCATCCCCCTAGTAATCAATTTTGTACACCGATAATTCATCTTAGAATCATGCTTTGTTTTTTACTCCGCGTAAAATAATTTAAAGTAATTTTTTGGCGGACATTATTGTTGATAATGCGAAGTGCAAATAATGTTGAGTCATTTTTTTAATTTTCTTTAAGCGAAACATGAAATATTTTGATAATATGTACAAATCATTCTTTGAAAACTTGTACTAAGCCACTTTGGTCAAAAAACATAACGTACCGCGTACAATAATAAGATAACGGTTTTTATAGTATAGTATACGGAGCGTGTTAAGAAGTTAAAGTTAGGAAAAAAAAAGTGCCTAAAAAGATAGGTATTTCAACTCTTTAACTTATTGAGTTACCTTTTTCTATTAATTCTATTTATGGTTAATATACTAACTTGTACAAATTAACATCGAATCAAATCTCGGTAAGTTCAATGTACATAGGTAACTGAAACTAATTCGTTGTTACTTCAATCACACATTTTTCGTACCGCTTTCTACTGTGCGTTAAGTTAAACCAGGTGAATAAAATCGTAACAAGAACTATTTAACTTAACAAAATATTTCAAAAAAATCCCCTAGATGGATATTGTTTAACTTGTTTGATTTAAGCTTAACAATCAACTCGACCTGAGTGGCTGAGTCGTATTGAACATCTATACTAACTGTTTGAATTCGTGTATTTATAAGCGCTATATACGTTAATAATACAAATAATTACATGTAATTTGTGTGAATAACATAAATAACACAATATTATTATCATCTATCACGGCTGACTTGTGGCTATAGATAATAGATTATTTAAATAAAGTGGAGAAGACGAAAGCTGCCTCCTAGTCCAAATTCTGTCGCGCTTTCGCTACTATACGTTTATACACCCCAATTGCAATTTGCAGCAACACTCGTTCAAACCCATCAGAGACCTATAACCCGACCTAATCCTCCTCGTCAACTTGTCTTACCTGTTTGTCCTTTGCCCAGAGTCTTCTCCAACCTGTACGGTCCGACGTACTGCTGGACGTCCACGGTCGATGAGTACACGAACTGTTCTTGGTGCATGGTTCTCGCGACGGTGTGCTTTTTGAATGTTTTCAGTGCGACAATAACGGTCGTCGTGGCTGCGGGATCGAGCTGATCAGTGACCGGTGAGTGCCGTCGCCGCCGATGGGACTCGGACGAGAAGCCACATTCGGAGAAGCATCTCGGGCACGGCGACGGCGGCGGTTGCGTCGTCGGCGGTGTGCTTCGGCGAAGTCCGTGCACATCGGACGGGAAAGATTGGCGAAACCGATACGGGTTGAAAAATTACGGTTTTCCTCGGTCCAGTTGTAGTGTGATGGTGCCGGCAAGGGTCGTCACTCGTCGAACGGAGGTCTGGCGAACGGTGGAAAATAAATCATGAAATCTTCGCCGACGATATCAATAACGACGACAACGACAACGAATAATAATAATAATAATAATAATAATAATAATAATTGATAAATTATTATAAACACGACGAGACAATATCGTTATTACAGCGATCGCGGAAAACGCGTGTGCGAGTACGACGCTGATCCGACGACGACTGCTGACGACCGTCCCTTGCGCGATGCAATACACATGGTGCGCGTGCCGAACGTTTTGCCTAACTGCTTTGGTATTGCGTTTTAAACCCGGGGAGGGACACCACGGTATACACAGCACGTAAGCCGCCTCGAATACATCTGCAACGGGCGGCGCGGCCGGCTATCGATAGCGCGCACGGGAAAATTATTGACGGACCGCGCGCCACTAGCGTGCGCACGCGATAACGTTATTATTATTATTATTATATTATTATTGTGATTATTATTGTTTTCGGTAGGTCTCATTATCTGTACGATGTTACCATTGGCGTATTAATAATATAATATATCGTTATAAGGTATACGTCGTCGCGTTACGCGGTCGACGACCCACCGCTGTCGCCGAAAAACCCCGAATACCGTTTTTTATTTTTACTTCCCCGCGATCATGTCGTTTTTAGTATCGCTTAGCGTATATTATTCATCGCTAGACGATCTTTCCGCGCCACACCCGCGATTTTTACGATTTTCATTACATTATTATTGTATTAGATACCCTCGTGGTGTACCTATACGCCCCGAGAACTGATCGTCGGCAGCGATAATTTAGTAAACATTATATATTGTACTAACTTGCCCATACCGTCTCCCGCGCGATCGACAAAAATACGACCGTACAACATAAAACGATGATCGATACAGATGCAATCGATTTGGATTGCCTGTTCCATGTGAATATCCTATTTGTAAACGATCGCTAGCTCATGATAACAATTTAACTACACAATGTGTGTGTACGACGGGTAGGTAAATAATAATATATTATAAGCATGCGGTGATACGTGCTCGGGTGATTTATTAATTTTATATTTTATTGGGAGCTGCGGCGAGAATTTTTGGAATTTTCGGAATCCACTGAGCGTGGCTACGGGGTGCCGCGGAGACCGGAAAACCTCGAAACCGAGTCGGACACGCGTCCCTTTGTAATATATACAGGGAGGGGCGAGCACGCAGGAACTCGTCGCGGGTCCGTGAACACACGGAAATGAGTGGAAAAATTATTATAAGCAAAAATTCGCTGCCTACTATAAGGCAAAAAATAGAAAAACCAAAACAATACGACGACCATCAACCCTCGGGAAAATATTATATTTTCTTTATCGATCGTGCGGCAATTGCCATCATTCGCTCGGCGTATATCGATTGTAATAGAATATTACTATAATGATAAAGGTGGATGCACCTATACAATATTATATGCATCATCGTTACGACTTGTTTTTGTTTTTCGTCATTCAGGTTTTAAATTTTCCAACCCCATCCCACCTCCGCCCGCCCTCGCCACCACCATGCGAACCCCGCATAAACCCGCACGTATTCCGCGGTCGCCGATTGCACCCCCTCCTCACCTCACACACTCACACACACGCGCGCGCCCACGAACTGCCCTGACAACCGCGTAAAGGTAAGCTACCCCATCGTGTGCGAGTAACGCACGTCGGGTCGCGGTATATGTGCAGTACACGCACATACGCACGCAAGCAGGCCGGAAAGTTAGGGGTGCGGTGGGGGCGAGAAAAAAACGCACCGCGTCGGGCGTGTGACGCGTGTGCGTGTGTGCGTGAATATACACACAATCGCGAAAAACGGTATACGAAAACCCGCGGCAAGTATCGATTCGAGAAAACAACGCGATGTTTGGTCGATAGCCTAGCGGCGGCGGCGGCGGCGGCGGACCCTTTTCGTCGAGTAGTGTCGGCGGCGCCAGCATTGCGCATGTCTCATCCTTCCACCCCCCCGTTCGTTCGGGGCAGTAACGACTCCGCCGCCGCCAAGTCGTCGTCGTCGTGTCCCCTTTCGAAAACACCCCGTGAAAAATGATCGTATACGGCGGCGGTGGCGGCGCCTCTTCGAGGCCCGAAAGTGGCTCTCTCGGTTTTCGCTCCGTTTGCACACCGGCGGCGGCGGGTATTGCGTGCACGGCGGGCCGGGCACGGTTGGGAAAGTGGTGGTGGGGGTGTGGGCGACTCCGAAGGGGAGATCTTGGGCCGCTGTAAGGGACATATTATTATTCCTCGTTGTGGAATAATACACCAGTACACAGCATATTATATTATTACCCATTCCTATTGTAGCTTAATAAATTATTTCCTAATGACTTGTACACACATCGTCACTGTACTGAAATTATCATGCGTAGGAGAGTAGCGTACGAGCAGCTGCGCCATCACGTGGTTGCGGCATTCATATCTCCACAAAACATACATTTTTAGGCCAACTTGCACAACTATGCAATGAAAAGAGAGACGATATGGTACTCACTCGTAGAAAATAGTTTCTGAGGGATATGGAAAGAGCATATAGAAAAAGTAGTTGTAACGATGTCGCAGTGATATAACATTATCAACAAGAGTAACAATGGTATCAGTTGTGTTGGCTTAAAGATTTTTTACACAACGGCGCGTGCATAATAGACTTATACAAATGTGTGGTACACAAAATCATAGGTTATTTTTACTGATGAGCGAATTCCCGTAACTGCAGTTATTCGTCAGTTCGTCATTATCATTAGTGGTCTATAAATGATTCATGGTTGTGCCTACCTCTCGATGTGGTGAAATCAAAAGATCGAGAAAGACATAATATTATACCAGCCTAGACAAAAAACAGGTGTGTTCGTTCCATCACATTCCATTCCATCTATTTATTGGTTCGACGTGTTTCGTGTTTGTACGAAAATATTTTTGACAAAAACCATTGGGAACATGGGTAAAAATTAGTAAAAGTAAATACTCTTTCTAGTATATTAAATATTGACAGGGAGCCAATGGTGCAAGACTTAGTTTTTTTTTTTTGGTGGGGGAGCTGTTATATAGGGGGAACTTATGTACCACATAAGGTTGGTATCCTAGCTATAGCCAATATAGGTACGCTGGGTATGCAACATTTTTGACTTTTGTAGTAACCTTCATACAAATCACAACTTTAATACATGACTATAGGTTTATTCGTTTTGTCCACACACAGAATTTTGAAATCATTTTAAAAATGTCCTGAAATTTTGTGGTGGGGTGCAACCCTTTAATTATTATGATGTCTATCAACTAAATCTTTTTAATCCCACTACCAGTGTTCCTAACATTATTTGATTACAGATCCTATAATATTGTGAAAATAATAAGTGAAGTAACCTGTAATAGTGATCATAAAATACCTTTACGATACACACCATATAATATACAGACTATGTAATATATTAATATACATACTATAACGTCAAAGTGTGCTTCTATTGGACTCTGAAGTATCCAAATTATACATAAAACCCTGTATATTTTCCTCCAAAAATCGATATTACCTAATTATATGTATAATGTTAGGTTATAAATATTTTATTCAAATTTAGAAGTTAGTTAGAGTTATTTGAGTTACAAATTGGCACAAAACATATATTTGGTACACAATATATAGGTTATACCTAGTACCTACAATGCAATATGACGTATGATTTATGAATATGATAAATGTGAGCTGCTGTTTTTACGTGATGATACTTTAGACCCCCTAAATCCCGACAATATTGTAATATTATTCATCGCGTCCGTTGGCCTTCCGTCTTCAAGAACGATATCGTATACCGACCTTTTTAAATTATATATTTAGGCAAATGTTATTTTGCGTTATAGACGATCGTCCGAAGTTTGTCGCAGGAGTCGCGCGTGCCTATGGAATGTTATCGTTATAGCGTATTATATATATTATAACAATAATTTACGTAGGTGCTCGTTAAGATCGCGGGGGTGCGTGCGTGTGCACAATTTCCCGGCACGGTGGGTGAAAATGTCGGAAAACTGCAGCCGCCGGGCTTAGATACTTTATTTACGATAACTTTATTTATTTGTATTGCTGTTATTACTGGTTTTTCGTGGTACTTTTTTTTTTGTATTTTATCGCTTCTTCCTTTGTACGTATAGCAGTTTGCTCGCGGGGTCACGCTAAAAAAAAAAACCAACAAAACAATAATAAAGCATACGCGGAGTGACGTAAAACCCGAAAAAAATTGTATTTTTTCCGGCGTTTTTTTTTTTATCATTGTTATTGCAATAGTGTGTTTCGCTAGTGTATCTAGCGACGTGGCGAAAAAACCTAACTAATAAACAATACACACATAATAATTATAATATTTTAAATGCCATCACTGCTGCGTATTATTTCGACCTACACACAGGCTAGTTGGTGCGTGTGTCTGAGCCTGTGTGTGTCTGTGTTTTTGTGTGCTCATATTATAATATCATAATACTTACCCAAACTTGCTTTACATGGCGCAGTACATATATATTGTATAAATATTATCATTACGAGTATTTTAAATCCTCGATTAAAATTTGTCACGTAACGAGCTCGTATTGGACTGTCAAACATGTATTATAATATTATTTGTATATATACCCACACAATTGTATTAGGTGTACGAGAATATGAGATGTATCAAAATATGCTACATAGTGTGATCTACATAATTTATTTTTGATAAGCCCCCGTAGTATAATATTACCATAGTTTTTGATGGGATAATATCCAAGCGACCATGATTACCATTATAGAAATATTATCATTAAATTAATGTATATATTTTACGCCTTATATCTGTATTGTTGTCTGGATCACGGTGCACGTCAACATGGATTTTAAGATAAATATTATGCATGTTTATCATGGTGATAAACCATAAATTAGAGTACAATGAATAGTAATTGAACTTTTTAGTAAATGTTTTGTGTCATTTAAAAAGTAAGGTAGTAAAGTTAATAATTATTTCACTTTTGTAACAGTACCAACCAACGTTTTTAGAATTATAAATCATATATTACTATAATTCATTATGTTTTTTAATGTACTAAAGATCTTGACAATGATTGAATAAATGTCAGTCTTACAACTAACCGTGATGGCTAATGCGTTACTTACCGATTGTATATTATTATATTTTAAACAATTATAGTTATAATTAAGGACCGGATTTTTTACCTTTTTACATCTTTTTACTGAGAGTATGCAGTTCCAATTGGATAAGCTTTCTTGATGATTCTTTACCAATGAACTGA